CTTTTAAATGAACTAGAATGATAGAGGACTGTTCATTGGCTAGTCTTTGCCAGCACAAGCTGGATAAAACCAGTACTGTTGCCAGGAAGTGATCTTCCCATACTAGTCCGCATCTGTTTTCTTTTTATTTTGTGTGTTAGATTTTGTTTTGGATATTTTTATAAATTTACTGAGTAACATTCTTAATTTTTTGCTTGATTTAGGAATTCATGTAATTTATCAGCTCTATTTTTAAAAAATAATTTCTGGACTGCTTTCAGTAACCATTTAGAGTCCTCATTTTATTTATATTTTTGATTTCACAATTGCTCCCTTATTCTTTCAGGTTTGTGTCCTTTCCCTCATGGATTCTCATTTTTTAAATTTACTTCTTATATCTCCTTCATCAACAACAGTATATTTGATATGGTGTACCTTAATACAGAAAAAAGTTTTCCACATCTGAAACTTTCTCAAATAGCCAAAGAATACCTCCACTTCTGATATAAGTATGTGCGAAAAGTAAATTTAAGACTTTTTTTATCACAGAAGTTAATTCACAGTTACTGAAAATGGGTTTACCTCACGCATTTCTTTTTAAAAAACTGGAATTCTAGAGGACTGTTCGTTGGCTGGTTTTGGATTGCACAAACTGGATAAAACCACTTCTTATTTGTTTCTTTCACAACAACACATTTGCCATAGCATACCTTAATACAGAAAAAAGCTGCCCATATCTGATATTAATTCCCCAAAAGACAAAGAGCACTTACACTTCATATATAATATCCATTATATATATATATATATATATATATATACACACATATATATGCAAAAAGTAAAATTTAAGCCTTTTTAGCACAGAGGTATTTAGGGGTTGTAAATGGGTTTGCCTCAGGTACTACTTTTAAAAAAATCAGAAAATCTAGAGGACTGTTCATTGGCTGTTTTTGGCTGGCAGAAACTGCATAGATCCACTTCTGTTGCTGTGAACCATTTTCTAATACTAGTTCACACTGCTTTTTCTGTTTTCTGTGTTCAATTTTGTTTTAGATATTCTTATAAATTTACCAAGTTACATTCTTGGTTTTTGCTTGATTTAACAATTCATGTGATTGGATATCAGCTCTTTATTTAAAATTTCTGGACTGCTTCAACTCACATTTCAGAGTCCTCATTTTATTTATATTTTTGGCTTCACACTGGCTGCCTTATTCTTTCAACTGTATGGCTTCTCCTAATTAAATTCTGTTGTTTTAGATTTCCATATTTAGTTTTCTTTCATCAATATAATGTATTTGCCATTGTATACCTTAATGCAGAAAAATCCTGACTACAAATGACACTTAGTCCCCAGAAAGAGAACAGCGACCCTTCTCATATATATTTTTGGGAAAAGTAAACTAAGTCTTTTCAGTTCAGAAGGAATAAGCATACCTTAATACAGATAATACCTCTGATAAATATATGTGTAAAAATAAATTTGAAGATTTTTAAGTAGAGGGAATTCACAGTTATTGACAACGGGTTTGCCTCAGGTACTTCTTTTAAAAACCAGGAATGCTACAGCACTGTTTATTGGCTGGTTTTGAACGGCACAAAATTTATAAAACCTGCTGCTAGGTACTGATGTTCCCATACAAAAATTATGTTTTATTCTTTTTAATTTATTTAGTATGTTATATTTCATATATTATTATACAGAATATCTATTTATATACATATATAAAATATAATATACATTATATATTGGGTAAATTTATCAAGTGACATTCTTGGTTTTATGCTCAATGGAGGAATTTATGTAACTGGATATTCACTCTTTTTTAAAAAAAAAATTCAGGACTGCTTCAAGTCACCACTTACAGTCCACATTTTATTTATATTTTTGGCATCACAACGGCTCCCTTATTCTTTTGGCTGTATGCCATTCTGCTCATGGATTCTGGTTTTTTAAAATTTACTTAGTTTTTTTTTTCATCAACAACAACATATCTGCCATAGTAAAACTTAATATAGAAAAAAAGCTGTCCAGGGACCGCCACACCTGCAGCACCAGCATCCTATATGGGCAACGGGTTCTAGTCCCAGTTGCTCCTCTTCCAGTCCAGCTCTCTGCTGTGGCCCAGGAAGGCAGTGGAGGATGCCCCAAGTGCCTAGGCCCCTGCACCCCATGGGAGACCAGGAGAAGCACCTGGCTCCTGGCTTCGGATCAGCAGCGGCATACTGGCCGCAACGGCCATTGGGTGGTGAACCAACGGAAAAGGAAGACCTTTCACTCTGTCTCTCTCTCACTGTCCACTCTGCCTGTCAAAGCAAACAAACAAACAAACAAGCAAACCAGGATTCCTAGAGGACTATTCATTAGCTGGTTTTGCCTGGCACAAACTGGATAAAACCACCTCTGCTATTAGGAACCAATTTTCCCATAAAATCCACCATTCTGGATTTTGTGTGTCTGGAGGTTATATTTTATTGTGGATAGTTTTATAAATTTATCAAGTTCCATTTTTGGCTTTATGCTTTATTTAGGAATTCATGTAATTGGTATCTGGTCCTTTTTTTTAAATTTCTGGACTGTTTCAACTCACCATTGAGAGTCCTCATTTTACTTGTATTTTTGGCTTCATGCTGGCTTCCTTATCCTTTCAGCCTTGTGCCATTTCCCTTATGGATTCCCATTTTTTCAATTTACTTCTTATTTCTCTTTCATCAGCAACAACACATTTACCATAGTGTACCTTAATATAGAAAAAGTTCCCCACGTCTGACCTTTTAACCTCAAAAAGGCAGAGAACAGCTCCACTTCTGATATTTGCATGTGGCCATAGTAAATGTAAGCCTTTTTTTAGTACAGAGGGTTATTGAAAATGGGTTTGCCTCAGGTACTTCTTTAAGAAAAACAAATACGAGAGGACAGTTCATTGCCAGGTTTTGGCTACAACAAACTGGATGAAACCGGTTCTGTGGCTAAAAACCTCTTTTCCCATACTAGTCCACCATTTTAGTTGTGTTATTTATTCTGTGTGTTACATTTTGCTTTGGATGTATGTATAAATTTCCCAAGTGACAATCTTTGTTATATGGTTATTTATGTATAAATGTAATCAGATATCGGGTTTCTTTTTTAAAAAAATTCTTCAGTGCTTCAACTCACTATTGAGAGTCCTCATTTTACTTATAGTTTTGGCTTTGTGCTGGCTCCTTACCCTTTCAGCTTTATGCCATTTCCCTTATGGACTCCCAGTTTTTCAATTTCCTTCTCATTTCTCTTTCATCAACAACTTTTGCCATCACGTACCTTAATACAGAAAAAAGTTTCCATCTGATATTTTAATCTTAAAAAGGTAGAGAACACCTCCACTTATGATATATTGATGAGGGAATAGTAAATTTAAGCCTTTTTAGTACAAAGGGAACTCAGTTATTAAGAATGGATTTGCCTGGGGTACTTCTTTAAAAAAAGATAAATGCTAGACAACTGTTCACTGGCTGGTTTTGGCTGCCACAAACTGAATAAAACTGGTTCTGTTGCTAGGAACCTGTTTTCCCATACTAGCCCACCATTCTGTTTTTTAATTTTTATTTTATGTGTTACATTTTCTTTTGGGTATATGTATACATTTACCAAGTTACACTCTTGGTTTTATGCTTGATTCAAGAATAACTGTAACCAGATATCCCTTTTTTTTTTATCTATACTGCTTCAACTCACCATTTACAGTCCTCATTTTACTTATATTTATATTTTGGCTTTATACCGGCTTCCTTATTCTATTGGCTTTGTGCCATTTCCCTCATGGTTTCCCACAGCAACTCTGATGCCAGACTCATGCCACTGGTGACAGTGAAAGGACTTGTATGCTCATGTGTGGAGCAGCCAGGCCCAGCTGGAGCAGAACCCACACAGCTAGGACATACATATATGCTTACACAGACAGACAGACACACAAACACACATGCTCACTCCACAGGGGAGTGAAGTTCAGGCTCTGCTTTGTTGGGAAGAGCAGAGGCTGCTGGAATGCAGCAGGAGCAAGCCCACAAAGCTGGACGAAACCCACCAGGCCCATCACACTTCTGCAGGGGCCAGAGGTGATCTGGAGAAGCATGGCATTAGAGGAGCCTGAGCTGCTACTGGTGACAGGGATACCTAGCATTCCCTGGTAGTCTCCCCAGTACCTAGCTCTCCCGGGTGCTCCTGCCCCTCCCCCACACTTCCTTGTTGGCAGCATTGGCTTCAGTATTACTTGCATGTGTGTCCAGTATCGGTGCTGAAATCAGTGTTTCATCTCTCAACCACTTACCTGCACCCAGGGCAGGGGCCTTGTTCCTCCCACAGACAGACTAGGTGGGGCCGACACAGGACACAAAGAAGGAAGGCCATGCTCGGCCATCTGCTCCCTTCTCTGTCATCCCGGGAAAACTCTCTGATGATCAGTGCTGACAGCACCACAGAGGAACAGGACAGGAGCAGAGTGGGAGGACACAGAATGGATCAGCAGGGCTGAGACCTGTCCTGTGTCAGAAGTTTGTAGCCTGGGGAGTCCTGCTTACTGCAGGGGCAGGCACAGACTGAACTCAGGGAGCTGGGTGAGGTGTGTGGGGGGGAACCCACTGCACTAACTAAAATTCAAAATGCCAAGGCTTTGAAAGTTGTTACAAGGAGTAGCAACGGCATAGCAGATTAAACTACTGCTTGGGAAATGGGCATCCCATACTGGAGGGCTGGTTTGAATCCTGGCTGCTCCTCTTCCAGTTCGGCTCCCAGCTAATGTGATGGGAAGGTAGCAGAGGATGACCCACGTTCTCGAGTCCCTGCCACCCATGTAAGAGTACAGAACGCCTGGCTGAGACCTAGCTGTTGCAGCCATTTGAGGAGTAAACCAGAGGTTAGAAAAATCTCTCTCCTTCTTTTTCTCGTTGCACTTATTTGCAAATAAAACAATAATAATAATTAATAATAATAAAACATTGGTTCAAAACAGAGGTGTATTGGAGGAAGAGGACAGGTTACAGGTAGAGAGCCCTGCAGAAGGCTGGGATTTATCGAGCAGCTGACAGAAGGTGGTGGCAGAGCTAGGTCATGGCACATTTGCCACAGTTCTTCCCTCTTTCCTCAGCCCTGCAAAGACCACAGAAGCCCCCAGTATAGGGTTGTGCTTATTCTGAGGATGAGGAGGCTGACACTCATCCCTCCTGAGCTGGGAGGGCACCACTGGGACAGGACTGGTAGAACTCCACAAAGCTACCATTACCCAGAACCCTCTCTTTCCATGTTCTGTGGCAGTTAGAGGCCACCAGTGTTTCCAGTAACCCAGAACCCCCTCTTTCCATGTGTCCAGTAACTGACGGACCTGGGGTTCATTTTCTAGACAGGAGGCATGTTTGGCAGAGCTCGATGGATCCAGCTCTGCATGTCCTGCTGACTTGAGGACATTTGCTTCCAGGTGTGTGGCCCTGGGCTCTCTGGGCTGCTGCTGAGGGTGATGCTGGCTGAGTCTTCAGTGATGCCCATTGTGTGCTGAGCGTGGATACAGTCATGTCGCTGCTTCCTCAGAGTGACCCTGGAACATGGGTGCCTGTGTGCCCTGGGTGTGAGCCTGTGTCAGGACACGGATGTCTGGGCAGGCACTATGCAGAACACTCAATTCGGGTGTGGGGTGAGCCCATCTGTGAACCCACCGGGCATGTGGTTCCCACAGGTGGGAGTGGGGTGGGAGCCTTCTGCACAGGTGCAGTGATGGTCATGGGAGGAAAGCTGGATGGCAAAGGAGGATGAAGAATGACCATCCTAGGGAAGTGGGGTGGGGCTATCCATGTCCCTGTCCTCTGCACAGTTCACCATTCTGGGACCTGGACTTCAGGCATTCACTGCCTGTGGGGCTGACACCTCCTCTGATCTGATGGACAGGAGCTGTGGGGAGCAGTTCCCTGTGGTTCTTTGAGGTTGTGTCATGGTGGGATTTTTGCCTTTCAGCTTCAAGGAGCTGTGGGACCTGGAGGTCTTGCTGGTCCAGGAAGCAGCACACATCACTGCTGAGTGTGAGCAGTTACAGAACTGGAGGCTGCATATCGGTGAGTTGGAGATCTGCTTCACAGAACCCCAAGGGGCTGCCCTGGTTCCACCAGTCCCTGATGTCCATGGCCTCTCACCAGGCCTCCCCCACCCATTTGGCATTAGGCCAAAGCTGAGTGACTCACAAGCAACTCAGGGGGCTGGTAGGGACAGAGTTGAGGTACAGCAGGTGCTGAGAGCTCAGGGATTCCCAAGGGCAGGGGGCAGCCTGCAGGTCCTCCCTGTCGCTGGTGGAGCCAGCCCAGTTCAGCAACATTCCAGAGCATGTAGCCATGGGGTGAGAGGCACCTTGCCTGGGCTGTGGGCAGGTGTCCAGCAGATCCCTGGGTCCCACATGGTTGGGCTAAAGGCCTCTTATAGAAGGCTCCTAGGAGGAGCCATGGCTGGGGCATCAGGGGCTGAGAAGCTACCCAGGGACCCCTCCCAGGGAGAGGAGGACAAGCGGGTTTGCAGTTCACAGTGACCTAATTGCCCTTGGTTCCGTGCTGGGAGGAGGACTTGTGGTGGAGGAGGCAGGACTTGAATCTGTTCACATCATCATCCCAGGACTGCACAGAAGCACAGAGACTAGGAGGTGGGCTCAGCAGAGCACCTGGAACAGTGCCCCAGGGGATTGTTCTGGAAATGTATCAAAAACCCACCTTTACTAACAGATAACTTACGTATTGCAAGCCACGTAGGGGAGGGGGGAGGTATCTTGCCTGAGCAGCTGACAGGACACAGAGCAAAGGATTGGCCACAGCTGTGTGGTCACTGTCACAGTTTCTGGGGCCGACAAGGAAGGGGCACGGTGCGTTTCAAGCATACAGGAGAAGCAGGTAGACAAGGGGGCATACTCTAAGGGATGTGGAGGCACCAGGATGGGTGGGCGCCTGGGTGAAGGCTCTCAGCAGCTAACAGTTCTCAGGCTAGGCACCTAGACCCTGTCACTTCAGGTCAAGGTCACTTCAGGCAACAGCTGCTGTGAGGGCAGAGCCCACCTACTCTTGGACAGCACAACCCTTCTCAGAACAGTCCTCACTAAGCTCTAGCAGAGGGTGATGACTTCTGCCCAGGAAAGGCAGCAGATGGCAAGTCCAGCCCCCCCCCCAACACACACACAAGGAGGGTCCTGCTGGCCTTTTCTGCCTTGGAGACAAGGCAACAGACACTCACCCAATTAGAAGATCTAGGGCCTCACGGTCTGACTCCTTTAAGTTCAGTCATGTTAGGGCTCCTATGCTGCCTCCAAGGGCCACTGCAGAAAGGCCAGCAACTGGACTCATACCATCCCCTCTCCTTTCCCAGCCACGAGACTCACACACTCTAGAAATGCCTAAAGATGCTGAAGAACTGGAGGAAATATCAGAGTAATAGCAAGGTAAGGAGGAGGTTGAGGGCCCCTTTATGACAACTTCCTGCATGCTTGGTACAAGCAGTGCCTATTTCCAAGGCAGTACGCTGCTGATTCTCAGATGGCTGGAGGTAAGTGTTCTCACCCTAAAGTCTTCCTGTCCATCCATTGCATGGTCATCTTCTAGGGAGGGAAACTGATGTCACTATTTGGGTCACCACTAGGTCCAAGGTTGGGAGGCATCTTGGTGCTCCAAAAGGGTGAATCTACTGGGAATGAAGCCCACGCCTCCTGAGAACTGTGGGTAATGAGGCCAGAGCCCAGGCAGAGCCAGCCTCTCCCAAGACACCATGGAGCCCAGGGCTTCCATGTTCCAAGCACCTCAGGCTGTTCTCCACCCCATCCTGTTCCATCCCTGGGGTCTTGTCTCACCCAAGCCTCTCCTTTCCTGTAGCTGTGTCACAAAACAGACATGGGGATCACTGCCCAGGTGTGGGGGAAGAAGTCAACACTGCTGCTAGACATGAACAAGATAAAGACCGAGAGTCCAGGAAAATACCAGGTACGAGCCCTCTACCTGCTCTCACACAGGTAGCACTAACAAGCCAGACATTATCACAGCCAAAGTCTCCCACCTGTTGTAAAGTGCAGCCCAAGGGATGGCCAGGCCTAGAGAGACAGGGTTATCCTTGTAGTATTTTTTTTTTGACAGGCAAAGTTAGTGAGAAAGAGAGACAGAGAGAAAGGTCTTCCATCTGTTGGTCTACTCCCCAAATGGCTGCTACGGCCGGCGCGCTGTGCCAATCTGAAGATAGGAGTCAGGGGCTTCCCCCTGGTCTCCTATGCGGGTGCAGGGTCCCAAGCACTTGGGCCATCCTCCACTGCACTCCTGGGGCCACAGCAGAGAGCTGGACTGGAAGAGGAGCAACTGGCACAGAACTGGAGCCCCAACCGGGACTAGAACCTGGAGTGCCGGCGCCGCAGGTGAAGGATTAGCCTAGTGAGCCACAGCGCCGGCCTATCCTTGTACTTTAACAGGTGGCCTGGAGAGCAGAGCTTGGAGAGATGAGGTCATGGGAAATCTCAGCCACCTGGAGGTTGTGAGAAGGGCTAGAGTGCAGAGTGAGGGGTCAATGCCAACCAAGAGCTAGCTGGGAGCAAAATCAGGTTGGACTACGATATGCATGGAATGAGTTGAGGGTGAGGGCCATCCAAATTATGCCCTATTTTACTATTTGTGATCTCATATTTCTGCCTTTTTTACTTTTTATTTTGACTATGCCAATGTATCTCAACAATCAGGAATGAATAGTGTACCAAACCAAAAAATTCCATCCTCATAGTTCCTACAGGTATCTGAAGCAGTCTCCCGTCCCGCCTCACACAGCCACTCCCCCAGTGGAAAATAACTTAAACAAAGCCAAATGCATTTGTAGATATCTCAGTGTGCATTAGTAATTTAGAATTGTTTTTTAAACATGAGCATCATCACCCTTCAAATATTGCTGGAAGTCTACAATATCCAGTCAGTATTCATATCTACCTAACTGCCTTCCAGTCTCTAACTACATTCCATCAGAATGTGGAGCTTCTCTGTAGAGGAGCTAGTATTAAACACGTAAAGTAAAAACTTTCAAAAATGCCTTAAATAATGACAATTCCCATTGTGCCACTAAAAAGGCCACACTGAGTTATAAATTCAACAAAATGTTAGGGCATCAGTTCGCAGAAAATTACAAATCACTCATAACAGATATAAAAGATATAAATAAATGCAGAGTTGGACTATGTTTCATGGTTAAGAAGGCCCAGTACTACTATCAGCTTTGCCCACTCTGTCGAGTGGATTCAACCCAAAACCAGTCCAGGTCTCAGCAAGCTTTTCAGTAGACAATGCCAAGCTGATTCTGGAATGGACACAGAAAGCAAAGGGTCTAGAACAGCCAAAACGATGCTTATGCAGAAGAGATATGCTGAGAAACTCAAACTATTCTTTTTAGATTCTTCTACTATACAAGTACAGTAAGGAAGACATGGCTGTGTTAAAAAATGACAGATGTATAGCTCTGTGGGAGAAAATGGAGAAACTGGTTCTCCAATTTAAGTGATCTTTGACCAAGGGCCCAACAGAACTCACTGGATCCAGGTTACTCATTTTAACAAATGATACTGAAACAATCTGGCACCCCTATGCAAAGCAAAGCACAAAGTTCTCAATACATACCTCTACAGAACTGATTTAAAATGGACCACAGATCTAATTAACTATGAAATCATAAATATTCCATAAATATACAGAAGGATATGTACTTTGATTTCATGTTGAGTTTTTGCAAAATGCAAAAGCATATTCCAAGAATGACAGAAAAAAAATTGATCAGTGGAACTTCAACACTTTTATTCTGCCCAATATATTGTAAAGAGAATGAAGTAAAAAGCTAGAGAATGGGTTATGATTAGGGAGTGGGAGAAAATTGTATATTTTTTAAGGATTTATTTATTTGAAAGGTGGAGTTACAGGGAGACAGAGGCAGAGAGAGACAGAAGTCTTCCATCTGCTGGTTCACTCCCCAGATGGCTGCAATGGCTGGAGATGCTCTGATCCGAAGCCAGGAGCCAGGAGCTTCCTCGGGGTCTCCCACGTGGGTGCAGGGACCCAAGGACTTGGGCCATCTTCTACTGCTTCAGGAAAGGAAGCAGCCTGGACTCGAACCGGAGCCCATACGGGAGGCCCGTCCTTCAGGCAGCGGCTTTACTCGCTACTCTACAGTGCCAGCATCAGGAGAAAATATTTACAAAACATACAGCTAATGAAGGACTTGTTCCTGATTATACACTGAACACTTAAAATTTAATCCAGAGGGGCCGGCACTGTAGCTCAGTAGGCTAAACCTCTGCCTGTAGCGCCAGAATCCCCAATTGGCACTAGTGGTGTCCTGGCTGCTCCTCTTCCAATCCAGCTCTCTGCTATGGCCTGGGAAAGCAGTAGAAGATGGCCCAAGTGCTTGAGCCCCTGCACCCATGTGGGAGACCCGGAAGAAGCTCCTGGCTCCTGGCTTTGGATCGACTTAGTTCTGGCCATTGAGGCATTTGTGGAGTGAACCAATGGGTGGAAGATCTTTCTCTCTGTCTCTCCCCTTCTCTGTCTGTAACTCTACCTCTCACATAAATAAATGAAACCTAAAAATTTTTAATGAGCAAAAAGGTGACCCCTCCACCCCGCAACTGGCACCGTATATAATAGGACACTATCTCCAATAAGCACACAAAAATAGTATACTGAGTGTTAACAGCATGATGAAATACCACTGCAAGTCTATTTGCGTAAAATCAAACAGAACTGCTAATAGGAAATGTTGACAGGAATGTGGAGTAACAGGAACACGCATTTACTGAAGAAAGGAATTCAAAGCAGAACAGGAACCTGTAAGATAATCTGACAGTTTCTTCCAAAAGTACACACACAGCATCAGACTCCAAATGTGTATCTCTATGTATTCAATTGACCTGGAAAACAAGCACACATAAAAACCCCTTGCCATGCTCACTGTCTTATTCACAATCACTAAAAACTGTAAACTGGATGATCTTCATGAGGGATGAATACGCAAACTATATCAGATCCATAATGAGGAACAGGATTCAGTGAGAAAGAGTAACAAGCCGTGAAGTCATGTGCTGACTGGGCTAAATTTCAGGTACATTTTTCTAAGAGAAAGAATCCATACCCTAAAGTCTACATGCTAAGATTAAACTCACAGGACATTCTGGGAAAAGGCCAAATAGAGATGGAGAACGCACGAATGAATGGCTGTCAGCGGCCACTGGAGTTCAAAGAGTTTGACTGCAAAGGGCCACACAGAGATCTTGTAAGGCAAAGGAGCTGCTACTTCAGTTGTTGGACTGGTGGTTAAGAGACACTCCCATGTGGGTTCAAACCACTGGTGTTTAGGAAACACTTTCAATGTGGGTTCAAACCATTGCTGGTTAGGAGACACCCATGTGGGTTCAAACCCTTGCATCTGTACTTTCCACACACTGCTCATGTAGACAAAAAATGCACCCAACTGTACATCTGAGTTTCATTTCATTTTATGTAGATTTTACCCCAAAGCTCAACAAACATCTATGTTCCCTGAAGGCCTCACTGTTGATTGGCAGATGGTCAGATGGTCACAATAGGACTTCAGTGCTGCTCTCAGAGCTTGTTAGACCTCAGCAGCAAACCGGGAAAACCCTCTTTACTCTCTTTCCCAGGAGGCAAGTCCCATTTCCTGTGATTTTGGTGTATTCTGCCTATGGTACTCTTAAGTGTTCCAAATGAGATCCCTAGGCTATACTCCAGTCAGGAGGTCTTATGTCACAGAGATGCAATCAAAGCATGGGTGGGGGTACTCTCTAATGCAAAACTGAGATAAAAGGAATGGAGATCCAAGCGAGGGGCCTCCCTGGACCTGGCCACAAGTTGTAAGAAGTGGTGCCTTCCTCCTGGGCCTGCATCAACCCCATAGGCTTCGCAGCGTTGGAGGATGTTCCTCTAGCTAGGGACATATCAATCGACTTTGCCAGGATCATGAAACTTGAGTCTGGATCCTGCAGATCTCACCATATTTATCACCGCTCTAGTAGGGAGTCCATGAATCTGAATTTCACTCCTTAAGAAACCCAGTGCCCAGACCTTCCCTTCCAAACCCTTGCCTTGAGGGAAACAGCTGAGTGTATCTATAGTCAGTCCTGGGTCTTTGCAATCTCCTGACTCACAGTCAGCCAACCTCCCCAGTGCACTGAATTTATGGCTGCAAGGGGCCCTGGGCTGCAATCAAGGCAGTTTCATAACTTGTTGGTCCTCATGGCTCTGGCTGGCCTTGCTAAGGTGCTTCTTCCTGGAGGGGTCATGTCTTCAGAGTGCAAGGCTCAAGGCCTGCCATAGGTGTAGTGCCTGGACTGGCACAATGGCCTGCGAGGTCCTGACCTCTGGGCAGATTATGTTACCACCACTCCAAATGCAATCACGCGAGAAGCAGGAATGACAGTTTTGCCTGTACAGCAGGCATTCCTGGGGGACTTCCACAACTGACTTGGATACAATAGGAAAGCTACAAGCTGAAATCCAAGTTGATAGGCCTATTAAGTCCTAAATCATATATGCCTGGGAGGCTCCCCTATGAAAGCAAGGAGGTAGATAATATAAAATGCAGTTTTGCTACATTAAAAGGCAGTAGAATTTTGGCAATCAAAATAGCTGAGTTGCTCAGTGAGGTTAGGCCAGTAGCACAGATATCAACAGTGACCCACCAAAGGAGGAACTCCAAAGTAAGGGTAAGGACTGTCCAGTTTGAGGCCACACAAAGTCATTAGGAATTGGTGTTGTCCCAAGAATTGGTGGACATGTGAATTTCAAGATGGCCTTGAGTGAGGGTGGACTGCTCGACGACAAGTAGGATGATCACAAGTTCTGCCCCCTGAGACACATGACACTACCCCGGTATCTGGAAGGAGGTATCTAATGTGAGATGACTGATGGGGGCTCTGCAAATAGACGAAGTGTCAGAGGCTGACATCCTCGTAAGGACACAGACTCCTCAGGGTGTGGGTTTGTCTGGCCTCTGAAAATACCACTCCCATTTAACAAGAGATTCTCAGTGGCTGGAGGCCAGGGCCCAGCTCATGATGCTGAGGGAGGTAGTCCAAACTCTCTGAGTCAAACAGTAGTGTCACTACAAGCGCAAAGCTAACTTGAAATCCTTTACCCATGGGGCCCTCAGAACCAAAAACTAGCCATAGAGTAATCCTTAGCTTTTTCCTTGGAAGTATGCCTGACCAAGGTGCATCCTTGTGGGTGGCTGGTGAGACAGATGAATCTTAGGGTTCTTTAGAGGTGAGGAAGTTGGTGTTATCAGAAACTGAAAATGTGCTGGGCTTCCCTGGTTGAAACTGAATCAGTGAGGAAAAGCAGATATATGTGGATTCGTTGAGGAATTTGTCTGAAATCCTTGTTCAAAATATAGACCAAAAATTTGAGGTTGCAAGCTCTCATCTCATATGGAACTAAGGTCCACACCCACTTGGACAAGAAGTCAGTTGCTGATGATTGAGGCCCATTTTTCCTCCTCCTCTTGATTATCAGTTGAAACGATGTCCTCAACATAGTGTCACAGGTGGATGCTAGGAGACAACTGAAGGCCAGCCAGATCCTGTTAACACAGACCACGAGCCCTGGAGGACCACAGAGGCAGTCGACTGGAAGTCTCATAAAGGTGCATTGTTGGCCTTCAAATTAAAAGGAAACGGTGGGGCTGGTGCTATGGTATAGCGGATTAACGCCTTGGCCTGCAGCGTAAGCATCTCATATGGGCGTCAGTTTGAGATCCCCTGCTCCAATTCCCAACCAGCTCTCTGCTATGGCCTGGGAAAGCAGTAGAAGATGGCCCAAGTCCTTGGGCCCCTGCACCCAAGGAGGAGACCTAAGGAACCTCCTGGCTCCTGGCTTCGGATCGGTGCAGATCCGGCCATTCCAGTCAATTCTCTCTTTCTGCCCCTCCTCTCTCTCTATAACTCTGACTTTCATATAAATAAATAAAATCTTTACAAAATAAAGTAAATGGTGCCAAATCTCCACAAGACACATACAGTTCTTGCCACAGCAATAATGGCAAAATTATCAGGGGCAGTCTGATAATATCAAGTAAGGCAAATTCAAAGCGAAGCATGACCTTCTTGAGGTGGTGGTAACTTGCGGGATGCCTCCATTCCTATCCGCCAGCTTGGAGAAGGTGCTTGATGGGTGAGTTAATAGATGACTCAATGTATTTCAAAGAATACTTATACTCTATCATGGACAGCTATGTCGATTCCCCACTTGTCCTTCTTGAGTTATATTTTAGGGTGTTGACAATATAGGGATGTGTGTTAAGTGTCCATGCCGCATCAGTACAAAAGACTTGGGATTGATCTAGGTGAAGAACAGAAGTCTTAGGCTGTCCATGCCAAGGAACAGAAATGATAGGCAGAAGAAGAGGTAGGCAGAAGCAACACAAGGACTCATAGGAAGAGGTTGGGTCCTGTCTTGATGCTGACCATGGCAGTCGACCCAAGGGCATGTCCTCTTCATAGTCTGTCAATGAATAATGACTGATGCACTTTACTGGGAATGATCACAATGCCGTAGGAGTTAGTGCCTGATGATCCATAAGGCTCTATAATGTGACCCTAATACATGGTGATTGTCATCCACAAAGATGCCTGGTGATGATTGCTTACCGCTAGTGTGCACAAGAATCCCACCATGGTTGAATGTCTGGTGGTCTTCTCTCTGTCTAGAAGGGCCTCAGTGGTGTCCAGAAACTCATGAGACTTGCCTGAAATGAGCCAGTAGGCAGCAGTGCAGCCTGCGAAGCCACTGACTTTGTTGACGATGTTCAGAATAGGTCACAACATGTATCACAGGAAGTCAGAGAGCGCACCACATCTGATTACACAGCACTGGACTGCAGAGAGATGCTGAAGCAAACTCTGGCTGTGAACACTCTACGTGTCTGCCTTCGTATTTCCCAGGGTGCTTAGGGTTTGCGTAGGTTGATAAACTTCTGAAGTTGCCGCCAACAGGGCCAGAAGTTTTGCTCGGTCCTGTGGTGGGACTGCTTTTACAAGTAACAATGGGAATGCTGATGTTGTGGCACAGCTAACAATGCTTCCGTTTTATATTGTAGTGCTGGGGCATGCCCCAGCTACTATGCTTCCACTCCAGCTTCCTCCTAAGGTGCATGGATAGACAGTAGGTGATGCCTGAAGATCTCAGGACTCTGCAACCCATGTTGGAAAAGAAGATGGAGTTCCTGCTCCTGGCTTCACCTTGGCTAATCTGTAGCTGTTGCAGCCATTTGGAGAGTGAGGTAGTGGTTGGGATGATATCTCTATGTCGTTCCCTCACTAATATTTTTTTTCCAAATAAAAAATCATTAAAATGTAACAATAGCCAAGGAACTGTGACAGAGTTGTTAAGATGTCATTTGGGTTACCCACGTCCCATATCAGAGCACCTGGATTTCAGTATAATCTTCCTGCAGTCAGGTTTCCTGCTAATGTACACTCTGATGGATAGCAGGCATTGGGTCAGTTACTTAGGTCTCTTCCACCAATGTGAGAGAACTGGATGGAGTTCTTGGCTTCTGACTTTGGCCTAGCCCTTTCAATAATGTCTGCAGGCTTTGGGGGTGAGGCCAACAGATGGAAGCATCTCTCTCTATCTCACACTGCCATTCTAATAATTAGTATATAAAGGCATCAATACATTGTATTTGGCATGGCAATTAAAGACATCATTTTTGGTGCCAGCATCCCATCGCAAAGTATCTAGGATCAATACCTGTCATGCATTCACATCCAGGTTCCTGCTTCTGCTTACCCTGGGAAACACAGGATGGCTCAGATATTTGGGCCCTTGCCACTCAAGTGGAGTGATCCAACCAGTGGGAAATCTGTTTTCTTGTCTTTCAATGGAACATAATGACTAACGCTTAAGTAAGTGAATAAATAATTCCACTGGGGCCAAGGTAGCTTGGTTGGGACTGTCCTAGGGGCAGCTTTGCCATTCAGGGCTGGTGGCTTGCACATACTCACTGAAGAATGCCTAACAGCTCTCTTTTATTCTTAATTGTACACGTCCATTGAAATACAGAGGCTCCTGCTGTAGTGTGGTGTTTAACATGATCTGGACACCCACTGCAGTAGAAAACGTTTATGTTCACCCTCTGTGCAAACATGATGCCATCTGTTTGTGCTTTCCAGACAAGCTGGACAGGATCTTGATGTGGCTCAGTGACAGCTGCCAGCTGCCAAGTCTGTTGCCCCGTGATTTGTAGGCTACTTCCTGTCAGGAACACAGCAAGGTTGCCCTTCTCAATCTGTTCCTGTCCAGTCTTTGGGCAGGCTTTGTATCTCCATCCACAGCAAGGTGTATATACATCTGTGTGGACTTCCTTGGTGTCTGAGATACAGAACTTCACCACCTGAGACGGTTGCAGACAAGGCATCTACTTTCTTAACCATGTCCTGGGTGGTACTTGGCAGCATGTGAGGAGCAGCCAGCTGTCATCTGGTGCATGCAGACTCACCATCCCGCAGCACACAAGACTCTGCATTACCCAGGTGGAGGTACAAATGTTTGAAATGATCTCATGAGACCATGTTACTTATACGGGGCTGCCAGCAACACTGTGCACACAACCTCAAGAAGCCTCACTGTCTCACTGGGAGTCTGTGGGGGACACAGAAACCAGCGATAAACCAATGGGTGAACCCATGCACTCCATTAACAACGTCAGTCCACAAGTCTACCAGGTACTATTTCCCATATGGCAAATGACAGAGAAATTTTCCACAGATAAACTTTAAGCCTTTTTGACATGCTCTTATATTTATCACATTAAATATTCCTCAACACAACTGTTAACAATAACTGGATTCAACAACATTGTAGAATACATGATGTTGTGCATGGAAAAATCTAAACACTCCACCAAAAAAATGGTTCAAGATGAAAAACCAATTCAGTAAAGTTACAGGTTACAAAATCAACATACAAAAGCAGTAGCTTTTTATATGCTAGCAACCAACTTGCCAAAAATGAAATCTAAAAAGTAATCCCATACACAATAGAGACAAAAATAAAGCACTTAGGAATCAATGTAACCAATTAAGTGAAAGATATCTACAATGATAATTCTAAAATGTTGAAGAAATGAATCATCAAGGACTCCTAACATGGAAAAATATAACTTGCTCACGGATTGGAAGAATTAGTATAATTAAAATACCTGTATTAATTAAAGCAACCTACAAAATAAATGAAATTCCTATCAGACACCAATGACATTTTTTACAGAATGAGAAAATAATCCTAAATTCCCTAAGAAATCACAAAATATCAAGAATAGCCAAAATTATCCTGAGCAAAATTTAAAAAACAATCAACTTGGAGGCATCAGAATGCCTGCCTTCAAAGCTTACTACAAAGCTATAGCAATCAAGGCAGCATGATAGTGGAATTTAATTAATTAATTCATCAATCCAAACAGGTAGAGACAATTGATTTTTCATGGAAGTGCCCAGACTATACAATGGAAAAAAGTATCATCTATTCAGTAAGTGGTGCTGGCAAAACTGGATGCATCTATGTAGAACTGAATATTACAGTACTATAAAAACTGAAAGCCTGTTATTAGTATCAAAATCATTGCAACTGGAGGACTTCATGCTCAGTGAAATTATTCTGATACAGAAAGACAAATATTAGATGTTCTCCTTTATATATGAGAGCTAAAATTTTCTTTTACGAAAAAAGAAATCAGGCAACAACAAAAGAAAAACAGAAAAAAAAGTTAATGCCTGTGTATATCAGTACTGCTGCAAATATAGTTTTGTTCAACTTTCTTTTATATCTTTATCAAACAAATTCTTAAGGATGATATACTACTATAATTTTAATAATTCATGATCATTTTAAAATTTACTGTGTATTAGTGTGTGGGGAGCAACTGGGAGCAACTCGGACTAGACTAAGTTACTGGAATTAAGACTTATTCTATGCATCTGCTCTCCCACAATATGGCGCTGGGAGAGGAGGAAACAGCTTCTACACAGCTGCCTCCAGTTCAACCAATAAACTGTAGGACCTGCTCCTGATTGGAGGAGAGCAGTGTACTCGGCGTGTGGGTAGCAGAGTTGGGATTGGTGGAAGAGGAAAAAAAAGGAGGAGAGAGACAACATGCACCGGGAACATCTATCTGAAGGAACACCTGTGCAGCCCCCGAGAGAGCCGGCCGGTGGTGTGCCGCTCCCCTGCGGAAGTGGGGAAAGTGGCAGGGGGCCCGCCCCTCCACGGAGGTGGAGGGACGTAGCCAACCTGGGAAGAACCAGCAGCAAACCCGGGGAGGGCCGAGCAGACAAAAGAACAGCGCAGGGTCCTGTGTCATTCCTCCACGAAGACGGGGAGCGACATTAGTGTAGTAGTCATTTTTATAGAAACCTTTGATTTAATAAACATAAATCTCATAAGTACAACTTTTGGATTACAGCAGTTCTTCCCCCCATACCCACCCTCCAACCCGCAAACCATCCCAACTCCTACCCCCTCTTCCATCCCATTCTCCATTGAGATTCATTTTTAATGATCTTTATATACAGAAGATCAATTCTATACTAAGTAAAGATTTCAACAGACTGCACCCACACAGACACACAAACTTTAAAGTACTGTTTGAAGACTAGTTTTACCATTAATTCTCCTAGTACAACACATTAAGGACAGAGGTCCTACATGGGGAGCAAGTGCACCGTGATACCTGTTGTTGATTTAACAATTGACACTCTTCTATTTGACATCAGTGATCACCCTAGGCTCCTGGTCATGAGCTGCCAAGGCTATGGAAGCCTCGAGTCCACAAATTCCAACATTATTTAGACAAGGCCATAATCAAAGTGGAAGTTCCCTCCTCCCTTCAGAGAAAGGTACTGACCTCTTTGGCGGCCCTTTCTTTCCCTGGGATCTCACTCTTAGAGACCTTTCATGTGGGTGATTTTTTGCCACAGTGTCTTTCTTGTCTTTCCATGCTTGAAATGCTCTCATGGGCTTTTTAGCCAGATTCGAATGCCTTAAGGGCTGATTCTGAGGCCAGAGCACTGTTTAGGGTAGTTGTCATTCTAGGAGTCTGCTGTGTGGCTTGCTTCCCATGTTGGATCATTGTCTCCTTTTTAATTCTATTACTTTTTTTTTTTTTGACAGGCAGAGTGGACAGTGAGAGAGAGAGAGAAAGACAGAGAGAAAGGTCTTCCTTTGCCATTGGTTCACCTTCCAATGGCCGCCGTGGCCGGTGCACTGTGGCCGGCGCACTGCGCTGATCTGAAGGCAGGAGCCAGGTGCTCCTGGTCTCCCATGGGGTGCAGGGCCCAAGCACCTGGGCCATCCTCCACTGCACTCCCTGGCCACAGCAGAGAGCCGGCCTGGAAGAGGGACACCCGGGACAGAATCCGGCGCCCCTGACCGGGATTAGAACCCGGTGTGCCAGCGCCGCTAGGCGGAGGATTAGCCGGCTTTTTTTTTTTTTTTTCCTATCTATTACTATCAGCAGATGCTTGGTCTTATTTAGGTGATCCTTTTTTTGGTAACTTTTATTTAATAAATATAAATTTCCAAAGTACAGCTTTTGGATTACAGTGGCTTTTTCCTCCCCATAACTTCCCTCCCACCCACAACCCTTCCATCTCCCGTTCCTTCTTCCATTCCATTCACATCAAGATTCATTTTCAATTGTCTTTATATACAGGAGATCGATTTAGTATATATTAAGTAAAGATTTCATCAGTTTGCACCCACACAGAAACACAAAGTGTGAAATACTGTTTGAGTACTAGTTATAGCATTAATTCACATTGGACAACACATTAAGGACACAGATCCTACGTGGGGAGTAAGTGCACAGTGAATCCTGTTGTTGACTTAACGATTCACACTCTTGTTTATGGTGTCAGTAATCACCCCAGGCTCTTCTCATGAGTTGCCAAGGCTATGGAAGCCTTTTGAGTTCGCCAACTCTGATCTTATTTAGACAAGGTCATAGTCAAAGTGGAAGTCCTCTCCTCACTTCAGAGAAAGGTACCTCCTTCTTTGATGGCCCATTCTTTCCACTGGGATCTCACTCCCAGAGATCTTTCGCTTAGGTTTTTTGTTTTTGGTTGTTTTTTCTTTGTTTGTTTATTTTGTTTGTTTGTTTGTTGTTTTTGCCAGGGTATCTTGGCTTTCCATGCCTAAAAACACTCTCATGGGCTCTTCAGCCTAATCCGAATGCCTTAAGGGCTGATTCTGAGGCCAGAGTGCTGTGATCTCTTTGACACTTAATGCCATCTTACTAGTTAAAGTGATCAGTTTAAGTTCATAACTGATCATAAAGATAGGACTTTTTTTGTTTGATTACTTTTATTGCCCTTGCCTATATTCTTCCTTAATAGATGAACTCTTTATTGAATGGAATATAAAGCTCTTATGAGGTAAATTTAAAAATACACTATTTCAAAAATAAAAGATTTTAAAAGAATGACAAGCCCTCACTTTTTTAATTTCTGGTTTGTTAAGAATAGTGTACAAATTAAAATGTCTCTGTAGTGATTCTCAAAAACCAATAAAATCCCAAATATGAAAAAGCTTATCTCATATTCATTGTATTGCTCTGATGCTGTTCAATTTCACATACACACATGAAAACATACTACCATTTTAGTTTATTAAAGGAAATAATCTAAAATAAATATCCATCACCAACTTAAAACACAGCCAGGTAGCCCTTCGACTGAGCATGACAAGAAAAGAACAGTTCAGTTATTTACAGGTTATGTTTTTGCTTGTATTAATTAACCATTTTCAAATACCATAATATTAGTTGTGACATTAATCATTTAAAACCCCTTAACTTTATACACCAAGTAACATGTTGGTATTTTTCCTTAAATTTCATCCACAAGAGTTGTACATATTTATGGGCTAGTGTGACATTTCAATACTCATATAAAATTTGTACTGATCAAATCTACATTAATCTTTGGCATTATTTTATGGACAGAGCCTTGGGCTCCTTTATTTCATTTTCTAATAAAAGATAACAGATTACTGTGAGCTACACACATCCCCGTGCATGATCCTAGGAAATGACTCAGTAATCTAAGGCTACTGGGATAATCATCCGTAAACCATTTTTTCCACCTAGTTTTAATATTGCAATTGGTTTCAAAAGCAAAACACGGAGAAACAATAAGGGGGAGGGGGGAGGAGAGAGAGAGAGAGAGAGAGAGAGAGAGAGAGAGAGAGAGAGAAGATACCACCCATCTAGTAGTTCATTACCCAAATGTCCAAAATACTCAGGGCTGATCTGACCCAGGCTGAAGCTGGAAGATGGTCTCCAATGTGGTAGCAAGAATCCAACTACTTAAGCCATCACTGGCTGCCACTGGTATCCTGAGCATTGTCTTTCCCACCATGCCAAATGTCTACCCTTCAAAAAACTGTCTGACACACCCTCATATAGCCCTGGCTTCCAGAGGAAGAGGCCACAGTCCCCTGTCTTGACCCCATCACTGCATGGTCTCCTACTCCCAAATCACTACACATGCCAAGCTCCTGCCCAACTCCAGCCACAGCATCTGGTTTAATGGATCCAACTGAAGACACTGGGGACCCTGGCCCACCAGGGTTACCAAACATGCAGTCACTGGACGTAAAGGCCCACATCTGAGGCAGAAGCAACCTGGATAACCACATGTCCAAAACTGAAACTGTATCACTGTTACACCACATATTAAAATCAGCTCAAAATGAACTGAAAGTCCATACAGAAGATCTGAACACTTACAACTTATAAAGTAGAAAAGTCCTTGACATCAGCCTCAAGAGTGGTTGCTTATGTGCTAACAACTAAAGCACAGAGAGCAAAAGCAAATGTAAGGAAATGAAACCCCAACAAACTAGTAAAGCAAAGATCAGTGAAATGAAAAGGCACACCAATGGATAGGAGGAAATATTAGCAAACTGGATGTGTGATCAAGGGAATAATACAAGGAAGGCATACCACTAAGCAGCAAAGAATACAATTTAAAAAGGACAAAGGACTGAATCAATGTTTTCCAACAAAGACATACAATGTACCCTGAGGGTATGTGAAAAAGTTCTGAACATTGCTATCATCAGCAAAATGCAAATCAAGATGACAATGGTTATTATATCTGTTAAATGGCTACTATTAAAAAGTTAAAAGATAACAAGTATCGGGCACAATGTAGAGTAAACAGAACACACACTAGTGGAGGGAATGTAAATTGTGCCAGCCATTATGAAAAGCAATATGGAAGTTCCTCAAATGAAATTAAAAAAGGAACAACCTTTATTAGCCATGAATCCAAAAGAAAACCACCATCTCAGAGAACTGTCTGCACCCCCACATTCACTTCAGCATCATTCACAATTCCACGATATGGAAATAACCCAAATCTTTGTTGATGGACCCATAAGGAAAACTGGGATACACACACAGTGGAATCCTCGCCAAACCTTAAAAACAAAGGAAATACTACTGCTTGTCACGAGATGGATCCAAAAGTATGGAACTACAGGACATTACAATGAGTGAAACAAGACACAGAAATAAGAAATACTACATGAGCACACTTACATGTGGAATACACAAAAGTCAAACTAACACAGTCAGAGAGCAGGAAAAATGAAGAGATGTTAGTCACAAGATACAAATATATGGTTATGGTGCTGGAGCTGGGGTGTAAAAGCTTGAGCCTCCACCTAGACGGCCAGCATCCCCTATGGGCACCAGACCGAGTCCCAGCTGCTCCACTTCCCATTCACCTCCCTGCTAATGTGCCTGGCGAAGCACTAGAAGATGTCCCAACGGCTTGGGCCACTGTGCCAAAGTGGGAGACCTGGGGTCCAGCCCTGCCACTGAAGACATTTGAGGAGTGAAATAATGCATGAGATGAGATATCCCTCATCCTCTCTCTCACTCTATCTTACTCTCTTTCCCTGCTGCCTGCCTTTCTTTTTTTTTTTTTTTTGACAGGTAGAGTTATACAGTGAGAGAGAGACAGAGAGAAAGGTCTTTCTTCTGTTGGTTCACTCCCCAAATGGCCCCTAGAGCTGGCGCTGCACTGAGCCAAAGCCAGGAGTCAGGTCCTTCCTCCTGGTCTCCCACGTGGGTTCAGGTGCCCAGGCACTTGGGCCATCCTCCACCATCCCGGGCCACAGCAGAGAGCTGGACTGGAAGAGGAGCAACCGGGACTCGAACCCGGCACCCATATGGGATGCCGGCACTGCAGGCAGAGGATTAACCAAGTGAGCCATGGCACTGAACCCTGCCTTTCAAATAAATCTTCTGGGAAAATACATACATAAATAAAATTTAAAAATTTTAAAAACACTATAGGAGTGATAACTTTGTTAAGTAGCTTCATTGCACTACCCCTTTCATAGTGTATGGTAAGTACCAGGAGAGTCGAAAAGTTTGTGTGAAAATGCAATGTAAAGATCAGACTCATATCGAAACACACATTGCATGCCTTGAATATATACAATTTTTGTTTCTCGGTTGTATTGTAATAAGGCTGGAAAAATAAAACATGCAAAAATAGGTTCCTATACTTAAAATGCAAATAAAAATTAAGGAACTTAGGTTAATATTGTGGGGTTTTGGTAGGCTTCATGGGAAAGAAATGAGTTTTAAAACATTCATGATTGGGGCTGGCTGGCACTGTGGCGTAGTAGGTGAGGCCACCAAATGCAGTGCCGGTATCCCATATGGGCATCGGTTCAAGTCCCGGCTGCTCCACTTCCAATCCAGCTTTCTGCTATGGACTGGGAAAGCAGTAAAGGATGGCCCAAGTCCTTGGGCCCTCGCACCCACGTGGGAGACTTGGAAGAACCTCTTGGCTCCTGGCTGCGGATCAGCAGAGTTCTGGCCATTGCGGCCAACTGGGGAGTGATCCAGCAGATGAAAGACCTCTCTCTCTCCCTCCGCCTCTCCTTCTCTCTCTGTGTAACTCTGACTTTCAAATAAATAAATCTTAAGAAAAACATTCATGAACTTGACTAAACTAAATTTCAGGCGGTTTATATCTTGAAAATAAAGATTCAGGATTTCTATCAAGAGAATATTTAAGACAATATCCAAGTAACACATTACACTGTCACCTCACCTCCCTCAGACTGAAAACTCAGAAATAGAAAATAAAAGTTAGTATATCTGAAGGAAACCAGGAAAGTGAGAAGTGAAATTAGAATTATAAATTACCATATGGTATTCTCCCACCGATGGGTGTACATTCCTATATGCATGTAACACAGTTACATATTACAAGCAGGTTGAGAATTCGCCCAATTAAACCATGGAACTGAAAAGGCAGGGCCTGCTTCATCAGCATGTCACCAGTGACATGGCAACTGGACCCAACGAAAAAGAGTACGCTCTCTGCTGTCCAAATTCTTGCTGGATTTCACTTGAATTTGTACTTTGTAAATGAAGGCTGATAGGAAGATGGGGCAAGTGCTGGGGCTTGGAGCCAGGGGGCTCATGCATAGTTTGATCTCTCACTGACTCACCGGGACAGGTCTTGGTCACAGTCCTCAGGCTCACTGCCCTAAAATGCCTTCCATTTCCCATCACTGGTGACCACAATGGCCCTTGGTTCAAAGCAATAGTTGGTTGTGGGCACATTATGTTTTGAGAACACACCTTTGGGGAGGCACCATGGTAGTTTTTCACCTAAACTCAATCTAAATTCCTAGGGTTTCCATATTTAAATGCATGACAATTTTTAAACAGCCCAATCTGCATTTTTCAGTTCCTACCAGGAGCTACACCTTATGGAGTTAGTTCTGTCAAGTTTTAGAATTTACACTTTCCTATAGTTTTCACAATGACATTCTTTCAGCTTATTTTGTAATCACAGGAAAGGAAGGAGGGAGGAGGGCAGCATGCTGGGGAGAGGAGGGAAAGGTGAAGTATCACTATACTCCTCAATCTGTGTCTATGAAACACATGATATCTGTTCACCTCTGTATAAATAAAAATTATTAAAAAAAGAAATTTAGCTGTGAAAACTGCAAGAGGAAATAAACGAACCAAATGGAGATATCATGTATTTAAGTTGAAGAACAAAGCAAAACATGGCAATACCAAAATATTAAACCAGGATGCTCACAGCAGTATGGCAGGGCCTTCCCCGTGGAATGAGTAGCAGTACAGGCCTACGGCATCTTAGTCACCAGGGGCTGCAGCCTCTGCCAGGGTCAGAGGTGCTCACGCTGCACTTGCTTCACTGGATCAATAGGTGGCAACGTCTTCACTGATCAGGTTGCTTTAGAACCTATTTTCATAAATGGCAGGACCCCAGTAGATATCATGAAGTATTTTACCAGAAAACTGTGGGTCCCATTACATTTATCATATTATCTCTATGTACCTCAAAAATTTAGGGTCTGCCAAGAATTACTCAAATTCTACCTGCACAGAGCAGAGGGCTATACACCATGAACATTAGTCTACTACAAGAATATCTCTTGGGGACGGCACTGCGGCATAGCAGGAAAAGCTTCTGCCTGTAGTGCCGGCATCTCATAAGAGCACTGGTTTGAGTCCCCACTGCTCCACTTCTGATCCAGCTCTGTGATATAGCCTAGGAAAGTGGAAGATGGCCAAAGTGCTTGGGCTCCTGCACCCACAGAGAGACCCAGAAGCAGCTCCGGGCTCCTGGCTACATATCAGCTCAGCTCCAGCCATTGCGGCCCTATGGGGAGTGAACCAGCAGATCGAAGACCTCTCTCTTTTTCTCTCTCTGCCCCTGCCTCTCTGTAGCTCTGCCTTTCAAATAAATAAATCTTTAAGAAAAACCTTTCTTTCCCCATTTGACACTCACATGTCATCTTCCATAGTAATCAGGTGGGGAAATCAAGCAAGGTGATCCATTAGTGTAGGAGGAGTTATCAATCACATAGAGCTCAGTGTTTGCTGAGGCAGTACTTTTAAATTTAACATCATATGTATGAAAATGTTTACAAGGTTTAAATGTCTTTGAAAGCAGCACTCTGAAAACTACACATATACCAATTCATTGAAGGATTTCCTGGACTCCATGCCTGTTCTCTCACTACAGCACTTCAGTAGAAAGCTTTATAATATTTGCAATACTGAACTGCAAGTCACAGTTTTAGTTTCCCCATACGTAATTATAGAGGCCTACATAACTCACAAACACAATTGTATAGAGGTAACAAAGGCATTGTTTGTAGAAAACTCTTCACCTAGTTTTCCCCCATAGATATGACTTTAGTTAAGCAGAGGAAAAGCATCTTAAGATGTTTGGCATAAACCACTCTAATTTTGGAATTTCCTCACAAAGTTTCTATATTTTAACTTCTTATTAGTAGTGCACTAGTAGTTGCTAGCCTAGGCTTTTTGTGGGAGATGCTAAAGTTTCATGGTAGTCACAGGAACAGAGGTTTGTGGAAAAGGTGACAGAACTGAGACGCAAAAGTGAAAAGCAAAAGAATCACATATTCATGTGGCTTTGAGAAGGGTGTAGGGACCAGACAGCCTTTGAGATGCCTGGTGATTGTTGTCAGAGAACATCTGTGGACTGGGAGCATGAGAAAACAAAAGAACAGATTTTTCTTGGTTTGTTGTGTGTGAGGGCAAATTATGGAATCAAGGAATCAAGTTTGAAAATAGCCAACACGAGAAAACCATGGGCAATATAAATAGGTCAAGCTAACAATGAGAGAAAGAGCCAAGACCTTCCTGAAACACGGTACAGAGATAAGGCTGCCTAGGATGAGAAGACCAGTGAGAACAAACACATAGACTGAACATGGGGTCATTTCAACTTCTGGATTTGAACAATCAGCACTAACAGGAACACCAAGAGTGGATAATGAGGAAACTGGAACATCCACGAGGACGTGCACCAAGGAGCTGTTTCGGAGTAGTCACTGGTCAGCATCTCATAAGATGAGGATCAAGGAATGATCCTGGGATATCAACACAAGTATCTGCTAACCAGAAGGAAGGGAGACTTAATTCACCACATACTGTAAGAACCAAACCACAAAACACAATACCTACGGATTTTGAAATTTTGTGTTGTTTAAAACACAGGACAAACAGGGATTTCAATTCACCAACCGATGGTTTAGAACCAATTACACGGCAACCAGAGTGGATACTGCCCAGAAACAATGCCCCTGCCTTCTCAGACCTAAAAATGGTCTACAAATATCATAATCCGAATGATTTCAGAATTTCAAAATCGAATTTAGAAGTAAAAAGAACCTGTATTGAGTTATTCAGAACCTTATAGTTTTATACCTGAAACAAATATACTTAGGAAGTAATGCTACCCTCTCAAAATTTCGGTGCCATCCTCTGATGATAAACGGAGTCCCCATATTCCTAGTTAATGCAATAGTATGACTGGGATATGTAAATTTTACATGATATGTCTTCCCAGATAACCACACTCATTAACACAATACAACAATGTATTCCTCAGGAACTTTTTCATAAAATTAGGGAAACACTGGATATCACAGAGGCAGAATTAGAATTCAGTGGGGCGATGACAACAATGTACAACCATCTTTTTGGGTTTAGCAGTCAAAGTTATTACTGCTGTGTTGGAGAACCTTCAATGCAAACTGAGAGAAACTATCTTAGCAAATTAGGAAAAACAGGAAGCAAAGCCTGTGAGCAGGAACTTCCTTCCTGGATGACCAGATCCACTTTCTCAGCTCCTATCCACTAAGTAGAACTATAAATCCAGAAAATAAAACAAGAGACCTGGAAATCAACACAGTTGCTGGGCATCTTAATTGCCCACCTATAAGAAGATGACTCACCTGCGGGCACCTGCTGGTTCACCCATCCTGGCATCAGAATTCAGCCAGGTAGGCTCACACCTCCTGGAACTGTCTGTGATACCTCCGAGCACATATACGGTTTACAATATACAATTTAAAATCTATTTAGAACATATGATATGAAATTTATAATATATAATAAAAGGTTATCATATAAAATACAGTATTCAATTTATAACATACAATTTATTCTTCCCTCCCCCTGGCTCCTGAAGGCCCACGTGTCCCCTGCCTGTGTCCAGGACCGGCATATGATACGCACAAACATTTCAAGAAGACTCACCAGGCGAGAATGGACAAACCTGAGGGTCCTGTTGAATCCACTGCCACTCCTCCGACACCGGCAGCCCGGCCCTTCCTGTAGGTGTTGCTCTCGGCTGCTCACCTCCTTGTTCTTAGGGCCAGGGCTTAGCACATGCTCCAATGAAGAACTCCACGGCGCTGGACACCAAGAAGAGAAACGAGAAACAGCAGCACTGAGCACCCCTTTTATAAACTTGGTATTTAATAGCATACATCATTTCTGGTCAGATTACCTGCAGGCTCCAACCAATCAAAAAACAAAGACCAAGCCCACGCAGGGGTGTGGCTCCAGGCTTCTCCTGGGCTCCTGCTGTCTGTCCCCAGTAGGCAGTGAAGCCAGGCGCCAGCGCAGTGGGGCCACAGGTCAATTGTTTGCTTCACTTTTGTCATGGAATTTATTCCACCATTCGATTTAAAATTTGACAGAGTTTTTCTCTTTAGGTACAATACATACTCTTCTGCTTTTTCTCCTTAGAGTGTTCAAATAAAGTGAAATTGCTTTTATAGGACTCATGCATTGGGAGTGGTGGCTGTTTTTCAACTACTAGATTACAGAAAGAAAACAAGGGTGGGATGCTGGCATTACAGGTGATGGCTTAACCCACTGCACCACAACACTGTGGTGTAGTGGTGACTCCTGCGGTGCCAGCATCCCATATAGGCAGCAGTTCGAGTTCTGGTACTCGGATTCCAATCCAGCTCCCTGCTAATGTGCCTGGGAAAGCAGCGGAGGATGGCCCAGCTCTTGGGCTCCTGGCTCTTGGCTTAAAAATTTGCTCTGTGGGCCAACGCCGTGGTAAAGTAGGTAAAGCATCCCTCCGGCAGCGCCAACATCCCTCATGGGTGCGGTTCGTGCCCCCGATGCTACTCTTCCAATCTAGCTTTCTGCTTATAGCCTGGAAAAGCAGCAGAAGATAGCCTCACTTCTTGGGCCCCTGAAACCATGTAGGGGACCTCAAAGAAGCTCCTGGCTCCAGCTTTTGAATCGGTTCGCCTCTGGCCATTGCAACCATTTGGGGAGTGAACCATTGGACGGAAAACCTCTCTCTCTGTAACTCTACCTCGCAAATAAATAAATAAATCTTTAAAAAAGTTGCTCTATCTCCCACTGCTTTTCAGAGAGAAGGTGGATAAAAAGGTGCTGTGCGCTCTAAATCCATTTGACAAAAAGGACTAAGATAATCTAAGATCAGGAGCAGTAGTAAGCAGCCTTTGAACCACAAAATAGAATAAAAACTATGTTGCTTAGCACACCAAGTGTTGGTCCACTACTACTCAAAAGCAAAGCATTTCATCCTTGTAATTATGCTCACACGACACACACTTATATACCCTAATGGTTGCGAAATTTTCTTCAGAATACTCAAGACTTTAATTTTTAAAGAAGAGAAAATGCCAGCTTTGATAAAATGAACATGCCTGCACTCGAAGGGAAAATTAAACCTTTAGAAAAAAAGCAGTGAAACCACCAGATTGTGAAAAGAGTATTTTATCCACCAGGAAGTTTCTGAAAGCTGTTTTCTGTCATAAACAAACAAGGTGCCCAAACTCAGGACTGAACAACACATTCTACCAGTGCCACACAGCCACGATACTAAATTATTGTTCTTGCCAAGGCTTCAAATAGAGGGTACATTTCTAATTATGCTGGGTAAGCTCCAACTCCCTCAGTTTTGAGCAAGCAGAAAATTGTAGTCTAATGCTGCAAGTCTATCAAGTTCCTAGTACCACGGGTTCAGTAAGTTATAACACACGTAAGATGGTGAATTTACTGATGACCAAAGATTGCCAAAATGACTTTTCACATACATTCCCTCAGGTTTTTAAACAAAAGGCATTTTAAAGTTGCTATAGCAATATAAAGGGAAAGTAAAGAATGACCAATCACACTGCCTCTGTTAAGGTCAGAGATGCTCTGTCTCACCTTCATTCCTTGTAGGCTGAGTCTCTCAAACACAATTCTGCAGAACGGCATAGTTTCTTTTTCTTTTTTTTTTTTTTTTGACAGGCAGAGTGGATAGTGAGAGAGAGACAGAGAGACAGAGAGAAAGGTCTTCCTTTTGCCGTTGGTTCACCCTCCAATGGCCGCCGCGGCTGGCGCGCTGTGGCCGGCGCACCGCGCTGATCCGATGGCAGGAGCCAGGAGCCAGGTGCTTCTCCTGGTCTCCCATGAGGTGCAGGGCCCAAGCACCTGGGCCATCCTCCACTGCACTCCCTGGCCACAGCAGACAGCTGGCCTGGAAGAGGGGCAACCGGGACAGAATCCGGCGCCCCAACCGGGACTAGAACCCGGTGTGCCGGCACCGCTAGGCGGAGGATTAGCCTAGTGAGCCGCGGCGCCGGCCAGAAAGGCATAGTTTCTAATTTCACAAGGCTGTAGTGATTGTATCTGGTGCCCAACACAGACAACCTAGTGCTTGCTGTGCTGCTCAAAAAATCCCAGCAAACCTTGTGGTCAGTTCAATTCTAGAAGTCTCTTCTGCCTTCTCATTAACTGCTACTGGTTTTCTTATGACTTTCCCACATGGAGCATTCTCTAAAATACCTTCAGGCCAGACTTCAGCCCCTGGATCCTCAAGAGTACAATAATGTACAGTTTGCAGGGCACTGTTAAGAGGTCAGGGAGAAGTCCCCTGGTGTTAATAGCTTGAGTAATATTGTTTTCTCCTTTAGACCACATCATTAAGGTGCTTTCATTATCCATAAAGCAATTCTTTATGTCACAGCAAATGAGATCCGGCACTAATTCAAATAGGCTAATTTCAACCTAACAAAATAATTTATTCCTAATAACTAAAGGACCAAGACAATGACCAAAATTTGTAAAGACTTGTTATGATACATGAGGGATCTTCAAACATTATATAAAACATACGTATTACAAAAAATATGCATGGGCTTAAAAAAATTTTACACTAAAATAAAGGTATCTTTTGATTCCATTTCCCATTAACTTTCTGAACTATTCTGATGAAGAAAAGAAAAAGCACGGTTTTAAAAATGAATCCTACCAGAGCAAAGGATGATGCTACATGATAATTTACAAGGGAGAAGCCAGCAGAGAAGACGCAAGAAGCCTAACGCAAAAAAATGCTGCCCTTCCTGAATTGCAAGGTGACTTGAAGCAGAGGAATGAGATTTCCTTTCCAAGTTAGAACAAATGCACACATTAGCATTAAGTTCTTTTTTAAAAAAGATTTATTTTACTTATTTGAAAGAGTTAGAGAGACAGAGACAGAGACAGAGAGGTCTTCCAACAGCTTGTTCACTCCCCAAATGACTGCCAATGGCCAGTGCTGAGCTGATCCAAAGCCAGGAGCCAGAATTTTCTTCTAGGTCTCCCACACGGGTGCAGGACCCCAAAGACTCAGGTCATCTTCTACTGCTTTCCCAGGGCTTAGCAGAGAGCTGGCTCAGAAGTGGAGCAGCCGGGACATGAACCAGCACCCATATGGGATGCCAGTACTGCAGGCCAACACTTTATCCTGCTGTGCCACAGCGCCGGCCCCAGCATCAAGTTCTGATAGGACCATCTCCTCGTCCTGAGGCTCTGCTCCATACTACTGGAAAGACACAGTTTTACCTTCTAAGCTACACACAGATTTAGTGACAGCCTCCAGAGCACCATGGCTTGCTGTGCCACCCTGGCATCCCAGGAAGATCCCACAGTCCCAGCAGGAAGCACTCAGCTCCACCATGAGGCGGCACTCAAAAGTCTTCACCATGGGTGTCTGCAATCACAGTTGGATATCCAAGTGGTCACACAGATCCGAGGAACTCTGTTACATGTTTTCTGGCATCTGGAAACTCAGAAGTCAACTCAGTACATTTCCAGAGGCCAGAGCCTCTACACCTAGGACCAAGCAGCTCAGAACATGTCCTGGGGTGGGGGCAGTGAACTTCCCAAGGCAGGAAGTGTTCAAGTTGCACATAAAGACCTGACCTCTGGTCCAAGATCCATTTGTGGGGATCTTGAGGTGACCTTAGTTATAAGGGGGCTGCTTGGATGCAACATTTCTATCAGGGGCCTTGTCTGGACCTTGATTGCCAGGCTCAGAGCAGGAATAGAGCAGGGACAGACTGTCCCATGAGTCATTTGCGAGCACAGTTCTCAAAGTGTGGTACCATAGAAACACTAAGCGGAGCTGTGGGGACCCAGTACTGCTCAGAGAACTTGCAGGAGGTCTCTGCCACACAGCAGCATTCCAGTTCCTCTCAGTGCTCTAGGTCAGGGGTGAGGAGCCTTACTCTAGAAAAAGATACCAGTCCTAGCTAGGCAAGACAAGAGGTCTCTAAGAAAATCGAGGAGCGTGATCACGAGACAGTATGACTAACTAGTCCACACAATCCTCAGGGAGCTGATTTAATAAGACATAAGTCTGCCTAGGTGCCCTGGAGTGTCACAGGATTAGACCTGGACTGGTTAAAGCCAATGGGTTATATTCAGCAGCCAGGGCCAACCTCATGGGCGTGCAGCCTACATGGTCACACAGAAACAGTCACACGGCTCGCTCTCTGAAGGGCCTGCACTGGGTTTAAACCTCTGCTGGTGGTGTCTTAAAAATCCTCAAAACTCTGTCTTTGAACTTGTGTTTTGTAAGCCAGTCAAAAGAGCATGAGTCTGAGCCAAGGAGGTAGGTGGAAGAAAGGAAAGAGCTTTATGTTTTAGTATCTTTAGTGGCCCTTTATCCCTGCCTTTGGAACAAGGTCCTCACAAAATTGTGCAGCAGGCCCAGTTAGCAGTGGTGAGGTAAACCCCTCCCAACTAGCCAGCCACACTTTGAAGGAGGGAACTGAAGACTAATCAGGGATGGGCTTTTGGTATGGCGACTAAGCCTCTACTGCAATCCCCACAGCTCATGTTAGAGTGCCCAGGATCAAGTCCTGGCTGAAGTCCTGATTCCAGCTTCCTACTATTCCAACCTGGGAGGCAGCAGGTGATGGCTCAAGTACTTACATCCCTGCCACTCACATGGGAGACTTGGATTGAGTTCCCAGACCCTGGCTTCACATACCTTTCCAGCTGTTGAGGGCATTAGGGAAGTAAACTAACGCATGAAATATTTCTTTCTTCCTTTGAAATAAATAATAAATAAATTTTAAAAAGACTAATCACCAGGGACCTTGAGGACTCCTCAAACCCTCTGGTCCTAACCCTACCAGCAAATCTCCTTTCATACCTCAAGGTCCCTCTTAAAAGTCAGTTCCAGTCCCAGGGTGGCAAGGTACCCTCCCCTCAGACCCCCCCGCCCCCCGCCAACAGCTCAAGACTCCCCACTGGTGTGAACCAGGACACAAGACCTATGTTAACAAATCACAGCATGAGGCCACAGCATTAGCAAGAAGGGTCCTTAGTGACACAGCTCAAGTCCCTGTAGTTATTTATGCTCCACACACAGACAAGCCCAAAGACTAGGACCACTGGTTTTCTCCAGCTACCACCTCTCTGATACCCCAACTCTGGAACCGATGGAAGCTGAGGTTCCAACCCCAGGAGGGACACAGCTCTGGGGCAAGCAAAGCAGGATTTAAACTGGAACTTCACTGATCTTGATATATGGCCTAGGGCAGGTTCCCACTTCCTTTAACTAATATTTATAAGGCTATCAGAAGTGCCTCCCTCACAGACCTTTGAAGAGAATTAGACAGGACAATGTGGTATAATTCAAAAAAACAAAAACAAACAAAAAAACCTCTTGCTTCCCCTCCTTGTGTTGTTATTTAGAAATGAGACAACGGTACCTTAAGAAGCCTGACAACTGAAAGTGCTTCATTAATGCTGATTCTGTTAAACATCCTTTCTTGTCCCTCCGACCTTTATTCTTGTGACCAGAGCCTTCATTAACCATCACTTCCTGTCCCAAGACGCAGCAGTGAGGGCACTGTTAGTTCTGCATATATCAAATACCAACTGTGACCAGAGACTACAGGAATGAAAGCAGAGAGATAAAGTCCTGCCCTGGACAAGCTCACAGTCTTGCATGAAATAGGTACACAGCAAATAAATGGTGATTAAATGGGTAAGTACTTTACATATATAAAGAGTGTGTAACAGAAATATTTCTGTAATGAAATACATCCAAAAGCTCTGGATACTTACCTCTGTCAGGGGAAGGAGAGAAAAGTATCACAGAAAAGGAAGACACCCATACGGAATGCTGGTACAGCTGGCGGTGGCTTCACTGACTATGCCATGGCTCTGCCCGCCCCACACCCCCAAACCCCCAACAACCCAGGCTGTTCCCACTTGTGATCAAGCTGTCTGTGTGCAGTCTGTGAAAATTCACCAGATTCTGTGCAAATTAATTCGAGCGCCCCATGCCCGTTTTCCTGCACACACACCTTACACTTCCGAACAACCTGGAGAAGAGAGGCCGTGAGTCAAGGTCCTCTTCTCAAGGACGCGACCAAGGCTACTGCTGGCCAGGGACAGAAAACACCCAAGACGCAACCGAGGCCATGGGAAAAGTTCTTCCTCTCCCAAACCCCGCCACCACCCACACCCACCAGGACTCCTGTCACTCTCCACCTCCCTTTCCTCTCCTCCACGCGGGTTTCTGCCCCTCCCTTCCTCACCTCCACACCTACACATCACCTTTTCATTCTCCTCCCTTCCTCTCTCCTCCCGCGTCCCCCTTGAGCCCCTCCCTCCTCCACTTTCTATCCCAACTACCCCTCAAACACACACACCCTCCCTGCTCTCTGCACCTCGGGCCCCACCCACCCAGTGACAGGAAGGCCACCACGGCCAACCATCCACAGAAAGAGCTGAGTGGATATGAAGCCAGGAGCCAGGAGCTTCCTCCAGGACTCCCACACAGGTCTTCAACTGCTTTGCCTGGCCACAGCAGAGAGCTGGAACGGAAGTGGAGCTGCTGGGACTCGAACCAACACACATATGGAATGCTGGTACTGCAGGCTGCTTCACCCGCCATGCCATGGCTCCGACCGCCGCCCCACCCAGGCTTTTCCCACTTGTGATCCCGCTGTCTCCTCAAACGCCTAGGAAAGCAGAGGAAGTGGCCCAAGGACTTGGGCCCCCGAACCCACACCGGAGTACTGGATACAGTACCTGGCTAGGGCTCCGGCCTGGTCAAGCACCGGCCATTGTAGCCACCTGGAACCTGGGCGGAGTGAGCCCACACACTGAAGATCTCTCCCTCACCGCCTCATCTATAACTCTGCCCTTCAAACCAGTCTTTAAATAGAAAAAAGTCGCGTACTTACTATGAGGTATCAGAATCTTGGGGCAGGCTGGAACAGAGCAAAGAGGGATTCTTGGGGTTTCTCTAAGCTTCTGCTTTCTCCTCCCTGTGTGCAGTCTGTGGAAAGTCACCGGATTAGGTGCAAATTAATTCGAGCGCCCCATGCCCGTTTTCCTGCGCACACACACCTTACACTGCCGAACAACCCGGAGAAGAAAGGCCGTGATCAAGGCCTCTTCTCACGGATGCGGCCAAGGCTACTCCCCGCCAGGGGTAGAAAACCGGGGCCGTGGGAAAAGTTCTTCCTCTCCCCACCCCACGCCCAACCACACACTCACCGGGATGCCTGTCACTCTCCCCCTCCCTTCCCTCTGCCCCACGAGGGTTTCTGCCCCTACCTTCCTCGCCTCCACACCTGCACGCCACTTTTTCATCCTTCCCCCTTGCTCCCTCCTCCCACCTCCCCCCTACACCCTCTCCTCCACCTTCTATCCCAGCTACCCTTCACACACACACCCCACCCCCGCTCTGCACCCTGGGCCCCGCCTACCCAGTGACAGGAAGGCCACCACGCCAAACTCTCCGCAGGTAGGCCTTTCTGTGTCTCTGGAACACGAACCCAGTCTTGAGGTGTAGTCTTCCGGAAGCGGCCAAAGCAAAAGACTGCACCTAGAAATTTCCAGAAGCCCAAGATAACTGATGCGGCCGCCTCAGACTGCAGCCTCATCTGAACCCGGCCTGAACCTGGGGGGCACTCACTGTGTCTCCTCAGGGTGGGCCACCAGCGTCGAGGATGGCTCCTCAAGGCTTGTGCCAGTGCTGGGCAGGAGCGGACACGACGCTGACTCCTACCTGAGCACCAGCACAGCTGCAGATGCGCCTGCGGGTGCACTTCCAGGTCACAGCGCCAGGCGCAGGCGCACTCCTCACTGGCCATCGCCATGGCGCAACGGGACGCATCTGCGCACTGCGATATCCCACGTCCAGCGCACCCAGGGTCACTTCCAGTCCCGCCCCTCCAGGCTTTACCCAGGCGGGGCAGCCGCTGGTGGCCCAGGTACTCTGCACCCCACTTCCCTGCCTCCTGGGAGTCCTCAATGGAGCTCCTGCCCCCTGGCTTCTGTTTGGCACAGCGCATGCTGTTGAAGCCGCATGGGGAGAGAAGCAATGCAAGCGGCATCACGAGCGCTCTTTCTCGCCAGAGCGTCCATCTGGGGGATCACCCCCCAGGTGACTACAAAGGCCGGGGCTGGACCAGGCCAAAGCAGATGCCAGGGACTTTATCTGGTGCTCCCTCTGGGTTCAGGGGCCTACGTCCTTGGGCCATCTCCCTCTGCTTTCCCAGGTACGTTAGCAGACAGCTGGATCCCACGGGGAACAGCTTCCGGGAGGGACCAGCGCTGTGCGGTAGCGGGTAAAGCCACCGCCCACAGTGCCGGCATCCCATATGGGCTCCGGTTCGAGTCCCGGCTGCTGTACTTCCGAAGCAGCTCTCTGCTGCGGTCTGGGAATGCAGCAGAAGATGGCCCAACTCCTTGGGCCCCTGCACCCATGCAGGAGACCCCGGGGAGGCTCCTGGCTCCTGGTTCCTGGCTTCAGATCCGCTCAGCTCCGCCCTTTGCAGCCAACAGGGTAGTGGACCAGCAGATGGGAGACCTCCCTCTCTCTCCACTCGCTCTCTCTCTCTGCCTCTCATCCTCTCCATGTGTAACTCTCAATGAAAAATAAGTAAGATCGAAAAAAGTAAAAAATTTAAAAAAGGAAGACATAGCTGTAAATAAAATACTGCATCAAGACCAACTACTAGAGTTTGTGTAGAATTTGATATTATATGCACTACATACCCTATTAACACAGAATTTGAAAAAGAGTTTAACTTAGAAAAGATTCTGGTACACATTCCTTCTCTTCTTCCTTACAAACATTCTGTCTGGCGTATTCTCTGACTCACGCATCAGGAAATCTTTGCAATGTATTTATTCAGACTCTTACGTGTCCACTTGCACAAGGACACGGAACACCTGTGATCTACACAGTTCTCCACAGAACACAGGTCTGCTTGCCAGTCACCACCCTTCACAGTCTAGCCCTGCATTTAACCTATGGAATGTGTTTGAAATGGGACAAATCCTATCTTCCACAAAGCAAGACAGAATACAGAAAGGCAGCATCTGAGGTCACTGTTGACATTTTCTACGTGCACGTTATCATGTTGGTACTTTTTCTCTCATTTCTCAATGTTAGATACATCAGCTAGGAGCTGCATCATAAGCAGCACTAGGTGTTGGCACTGTGGTGTTGTGGGTAAAGCTGCCCCCTGCAACGCCAGCATCCCATATGGGTACCACTTCCAGTCCCAGATACTCCATTTCTGGACCAGCTCCCTCCTAATTGCCTGGGAAGGCAATACAGATGGCCCAAGTGCTTGGGCCCTACCACTCTTGTGGGATACCCAGATGAAGCTCCTGGCTCTTGACTTTGACCTGGCCAGTCCCAGCCACCACTGAGGCCATTTGGGGAGTGAACCAGTGGATGGAAGATCGATCTATCTCTCTCCCTCTCTGTAACTCTGCCTTTCAAATAAATAAAATCTTATCTCTCCTTTTTTTTTTTTTTTTGAGTAAAGTAGCAACACCAGGACTTGAAACAGGGAATACCATATGGGATGCAGGTGTTCCAAGCAGCTTCTTAATGCCATCCAACATCAAATACCTGCCCCTGAAGGTCTTCTTACTCAACTTCTCATTTCACATGTGAGGTTTACAACCTTTGTTCCTCTCAAAAGGACAGTACTGTACTGCCTATGTTAGAAAGAGGAAATCTAGCAGGTAAGCGCTGTGGCGTAGCAGGTAAAGCCACTGCCTGCAGTGCAGGCATGAGCCTCAGCTGCTCCACTTCCAATCCAGCTCTCTGCTATGGCCTGGGAAAGCAGTAGAAGATGGCTCAAGTCCTTGGGCCCCTGCACCCATGTGAGAGACCTGGAAGAAACTCCTGGCTCCTGGCTTCAGATTGCAGCAGCTCCAGCCATTGCAGCCATCTGGGGAATGAACCAGCAGACGGAAGACCTCTCCCTCTGCCTCTCTCTCGTCCTCTCCTTCTCTCTCTGTGTAACTCTGACTTTTAAGAAAATAAATCATTAAAAAAGAAAGAAAGAAGAAAGAAATCTAATCAGAGCAAGATCAGCAGTAACATTCCCGTGTCAGGCATTTGATAAGAGAAATGCCCCTACGTGTTCAAAGTGCCTCCCTGTATTCTCTCCATTTACTGAGTGCATGTATTGGTCAAACGACTGGTGCTTTTGAGGAGGATGAGCAGAACAAGAATAAGAGGCAAAGGATGACAATAATCTGCAGCAGGGCCATGGAACGAAGGTGGCAGAGAGGGAAGATTCTAGTAATACCAAAGCTACAAAGAGAAAAAGCTGAGTCACTCCACATGCATGTAGAAACATCTAAAGGTACTCTGCTTTCTAGCCTAGGTAGGAGGGTGAGTAACAAGAGCACCCATCAAAGAGAACACAGCCTTTTTTTACCTATTAAGACTGCTAACAATTACATAATAATGACCTGGAGTTCACACTACAGAATAGAGAAGCAGTGTGCTTCAAGACAGCACACTTGAGTCTTTTTTTTATTTTATTTTTTACAGGCAGAGAGGACAGT